TTCTGCTCGATGAAAGCGTTGTTGCCGATGTACAGGATGCTGCAGAAGCAGCAGCAGCCGAGTTGAGCGAGCTCATCGATGCGCAGCATCTTCACCTCGTCACGCGAGCGGTCCTGGCTGACGAGCCACTCTTCAAGCTCGACCATTTGGACGTTTTCGAGGCCGATGCCTGCGTCAATTTCGCCCGTGATGATGGAGCGGGTAACGTTCATGCCGACACGGACGGCCTGGTAGTCGTCAGGCGACATGCCGTAATGCGCAGTGAGTTCGTCGAGCTGGATCTTGCCAAATTCGCCGACGTAGCCGATCTTCTTTCCCTTGAGGGTGGTGAAGTCGGGAGTGATGCCAGACGATGTCAGGTACACGACACCAGTGAAGGGCTCGTTGAGCAGAGAGCCAATTGACTGGACCGGAAAGCCACGAGCGGCGGCGGCCAGCGTATGGATCATCGCCTTGAAGCCGAGATCGACCTTGCCAGATCCGATGATCTCAGTGACATCCTGGGATGGTAAGCTGATGAAGTGCGAAAGCTAGTGTTGATCATACACTAGGATCATTGGGTTCGAGAAGAGCGACTTTGATGCCTTCATCCTTGAAGTATCCCTTGCTCTGAGCAAGGTAGAGGGGAGCGTGGTATGGCGTAGCGTGCCTGTTCACCGTCAGCATACACCCCATCCAATCTAGATGCAAAGCGCACCAGTTGGTCAAGAAGGTGATCTTATCAGTCGACATCTTGACTTGGGTGCAGAAGCTGAGCTAGTCAGTACGCCAACATAGTGGGCAAAGGGTCATCATGAAGCAGCAATAGTCCTTCGCGCTGGAATTATCCAGATCAAGTTTGAACGGTATGATCTCAGAACAAGCCATCAACGATCAGACCCAGCGGAGGGATCCGAATCGCTGATGACTTGAACACCCGCCATGCTTTGCTTCTGATGGTTGAGATGGGTACCTGATGATGCCATGCTGGGCACCTGTTACTTGACCGAGATACAATTCTGGTGTGCGAAGAGCGAGGCCGAATAGGCTGCGCTTTGCTGGTTCGATGATAGCATCGTACCAAAGTGGGTTGTATTGGGTTGGTGGAAGCTGGATATGTGCGATTGGGAAAAGTTGAGGAACAATTGAGGACGCAGTTTGAGGCCACGGCTAGAGCCGGATACTTATACTTTACTTCTCAAATTGTCGACTGAGGTCATGTATGGATAAATTGCTCACTGTAGGTGCATGTGTTGGGACATGGTGGGGCAATGAGGGGTACACTTCCCGCGCGGGTCAAAACACATCACCGAACCACAATACGCGTCTCATCATGCAGACGGGATGTCCTTCAGCAACTATTACTCGTTGAAATTTAAGTACGAATTGTCCGTAAGCCGTGGCTCTAACTTGGGTGGTCGATCTGAGTTTGCTGAACCACGTCCTTGGGAACTCACACGACGATCTTGTCTTTCTCCAGCGAACGGGTTATTTCATTAAAATAGCTGCGTCGCGCCAAAGCCAAGTATGCAAGAAGAGATATCCACCTACTGTCGCAGTTCCGTGGGCTGATGCTTTACGACATCTAATGACACGTACTATGACCAAGACCTCAACTCCGAATATCGGTGATGTGAATAATCATGGGTATCTGAGATGTACAGATCCGTGGGACCGAGTACAGGTGGTTGAGACGCATTAGGATGCCATCGGGATTATAACGCTACCATCCTTTCTTGCAGCCACCCGTTTAAGCCCTGCCACATCGAGCTATCCATGTCTTTATCTCCCAACCTCTCGCAGAAGTGCCTCAAAGCCTCGCACCTCTGCTTAATCCATTCTTTCTTCTCCTCTTCGCGACCACCCTTCATCTCTCCAGCGATAGCGTGTGCTACTTTTGCCTCGCATACTGGACACAGATATGGCGGTTGTCTTACATCTTCCTTCATGCTACCTGTACCCTGCATATTACATGCATAGTATACACAATGGTCGAGCGCGAAACAATGTCCTAGCTCATGTGACACTGTACGCGCGAGACGTGAGAACCAAAGGGCCTGTACTTCTTGCACCGATGATGTAGGCCTATACGTTGTCGCGGCTTGGGTAGCCGCTTTCATCGCCCCACTCTTGCTTAGTTCTTTCTGTTTCTTCGTCGCAGATTTTGCCTTTACATCTTCTACAGCACATAGTTCATCGACAAAGGTTTTGCAATGACTCCACGGCCACATGTGGTTTCGGTCGATCTCCTCTCCTTTCCGTTCATCCAGTATTGGGTTATATCGCGCAGTCTGCACAACAGCCACTCTGCTGCCTCCATACGCCCTGCCACAGCAGAAGTCGTCGTCGTCAGACTCGTAGATGTCGTGGTCGACTAAGACGACCATCGCATAAGCGTCATCAGGCAGAATTGAGATCGCTGTGTCGAGGATGTCGTCCAAATTCAGTTGAGCAGGGAAAACAGTGTCTGGCGCAGGGCGGACGCGGATTCTGGTACAACGATCTCCATGTGATAGACCGATGTACTTCGGCAGAGCGGCACTTCGACAGCCCTTGGCGGACTTGGTAATGGAGCCCCATGGTGTCCAGGTCAATGGCGTGGGGAAGAGGCGAACAGGCATATCGTGATAAAATGCGGTGAGATAGTCGACGAAGTGATCCGCAGATGGAGGAGATGGTCGGACTTTATCCTCGCTTTTGACTTCATCGTAACCGGTGGGTACTATCCAGTGCCTCATAAAGTCCGCCTTGAAACTGATTCCCGGCACTTGCACCACATACAACTTATTCCTTCTTGGCGCCAATGATAATTTGTTTCTACACTCCTCGTTCAGCCAGTCCTTCGTACTCTGCGGTAAAGAATCTGGATCATAGTTGAGCTCGTCGTGGGGTAGGACTAGAGGAGCGGGAAATGTTCCAATGGGATGATCCTTAACACTCTTCGGCGCTCTTCCAGATGTCGTTTCTGCTGCAGCGCGTGCTGCGGGATCCGGTTGCTCATATCCGGCTAATACTGCGAAGGGCGATGGATTTAGTTGTAGAATGGTGTGCTTACATGCCATAGCGGGTGTCAGTACGAAACGGAATGAAAAGAATCAAAGAAGAAGGAATAAGGATAGGGTCTGCTGCCTGGATGGCGGCTGTTTGTCTTGGACGCTAGGCAAACCCCCGCGATTCATGTCTACACCCTCGCTTCATGCCGCCGGGTCATCGTGCCTGATTCTCTCCTTCCATCCCCTGTGCACCTTCGACCGTACTTTCACCACAGCGGGTCGTTCCTTCCCCAGTATAGCAAACTTCCCCCAATCGCCAAGCTGTTGAAGATGCCAACGTAGTGGCCCGCGATCTTATCCTTCGCTCCATACGCGCTGACGATAACCGTATCCGCGACGGTTGCGACCAATCCCGCCATGACCGCAACTCCCAAGCTCCTTCTGTCTCGCAGTACCAGACCAAAGACAGCTAAGAGAACACCGTTCTGAACGTTGCGCGCTGCTATCGCTGCAACCAGGGCTTTCTTGGTCTTCTGATCCTCGTCGTAGGTGCTTTCGGTATTGCTGGAGCGTTTTGCGGATGCGGGCGATGTGTTGGACTCGGCCGAGATGGGCAAACCGTAGCCATCAGCGAAGAAGGATGGGTTTCGTAGACCTATTATTCCGAAAGGGACGATTTCGAGGGTTGCAATGAAGAGCGCGAGGCATTCCGCTGGCGGAGGTAGGTGGTGGAAGAGGTTGCGGGCTTGAGTTGTCATGGTGGCGAACTGGTTTGACCGTCAGGATCGTCTCGGAGATAGTTGCAGCGGTGCAAGGCTTGAGAAACGAGACGAGACATGGTGTAATCTTATAGAAACAGTCGCCATCGATGCAGGAGAGATGTAGGTGTATGTAGACTTCCTTAAGCTCCCATTGGCTGACGAGTTCGGACTTCGGATGCGGGGATTGCAGGGCTGTCGCGTCGACGCGTCTTCCCGCCCCATTGCTTCGCGCCTCATAGCTTCTACAACGGGCGAACAACACCGTGAAGACGAATTTAGATTACTACTTCGATTCCCCTGACAACATCTCGCAATGGAACCTTCCCGGCACGCGTTACAGTGATGACACGTCTCCAGTGAACCACGCCCCGGGCGATACCGGCTTCTCCTCCGCGCCCAGCGAGCGCGCTGCAATGCCGAATGAAGGGGGAAGATGCTTTCACGACAAAGGAAGTGTGAATGAACATAGAGGCGCCCTGAAAAGAGATGGAGAGTGAAGATTGACTTCCGTCAACTCTTGCCTTGGAGTGCACAGGGAAACAGTGTCGTTGAGGCATCATGGCTGAGGACATACCGGAAGGCGTATATATGCTATCACTCCTTCACTCGGTGGGGATGAGTGGTATGTTGGCTCGCAGTGGCGATTATCTTGGGATTGGATGAGGGTTACTTCCTTGGAGCGGATAGGCACATGGCAAACTCGTCTATCCGTGGTCTCGTCCTATCAGAGGTTCGTCATCTCAAATATCAGCGCACGTAAACGCATCGCTACCATGATTTGCCTGGAACTGTGAAAGGCTTTGGAAGCGGTACAATGCTTGTCTGCATGTGCGGTGAAACCGATTTCAGCTTTTGACAGCTCGACTGCGCCTGCTTTCTGTCGAAGTTTCCCTCGTGTGGCGCTCTTTCCTTCCAAGGTTGTCTTCACTCGACCCTCCAACACCACGGAAAGCTTTGACTCGCCTCGCACACTTCTGCCTTCACACGCACCTCTCAATTTTGCTAGCCGCTCCCTCCCCAGTACATAATCCGCCCGCCCTCACCTTTCTTCTTACTCTCTCCACACTCGCTCCTCAACTGCGCAGCTCCAACTCTTGCGTTCTGAAGCAACGACCGCCAAAATCTTCTGTCGACCTTGCTCAATTTGAGCCTTCCCTAGGCGATCTGTGTCCATCAAGCGAGCTTCGCCCTCACCTCCGCCTCCCACACCTCACGAGCCGCGCCCCAACTCCCAACTCCTACCCCGTTCGTCAAGCGATCGCACAAGATGGCGACGGCTCCTTCCTTCTGGGCTGCTGGCGGCAGCAAGATCAAGTCCGCCGAGTCTCCAAACCCCAAGATCGCAGAGGCGCCACCCAAGGCGAAGCCAGACCCTCAACAGAAGAAGGGTCTCGTACTGAAGGGCATGACCAACGGCCAGTCGACCAACAGCGTATCGAACGGTACCTACCCAAAGACCCCCATTGGCAAGAAGACCAACTGGGCCGACGAGGACGATGATGATAACACCTTCATCGCCGAGTTCATGAGCCAGGATCCGAAGATCGCCACACTCGAGACCACCATTGCCCTGAAAGAGGAGCGTGTCAAAGAGTTGGACGCACTGGTCGAAACAAAGACGCTTCGTATCGCCGAACTGGAAGGCGCAGTCCAAGACAAGGACGTACACATTAGCGATCTTGAGACGGAGGTCCAAAAGAAGGGTCTCGAGATTGAAAAGCTCAAGAAGGTGAATAGCGACCAGCTCGCTCACAACCAGGAGTTTCTGCGCGAGACTGAAGAGAAAGACCACCAGATCAAGTACCTGAAGGCTGAGCTTGAAGAGAAGGCTTCGGCCATCGGTGACCTCGAGCGCGAAAAGAAGGCTGCAACCATTAGCAACCTCGAGCAGGAGTCGGCCGCACTCGTCCCGGTGCCCACAAACGACGAGGTGACCCCCGAGGATGAGCCCAAGAACGTGGTGTCGGAGAGCATCAAGTCCAACGGGACCGATGTCGTTACCGAGGCGAAGACCAAGGCCAAGAAGACCGCATCCGTGGCTTCTGACTCAGACAGCTTTGAGATCGTTGATGCCCCCGTGACCGAGGAAGCCAAGGACGAGAAGCCTGCAACCGTCGTCACTAAGCAGTCCGAGGAGACCGGAACGACAAAGAACGCCAGCGGTCCATCGCTCGTCACATCCACGTTTCCTAATTTCGTGACGAAGGAGACACTGAAGGTCGTTCCTCCAGTCCCGAAGCCCAAGACCATGACCTTTGGCATTGATATGTCTAAGTACGGGAAGAAGCCAGTCGCGTCGGCTGCTGCGAAGATTCCAGCTCCGTCGTCGCCCGCTACCGAGCTGAATGGACATACCACCCCCTGGGGCCACTCGTCCAGGCAGGCGCGTGACAAGGCCGGTACCATGCCGGAGCTCAACCCTGCGGCTGACATCCGTCACATGTCACACGGGCAGCGCGTAGTATTCGGTAATGGTCCCGAAGTCATTGTCAAGCTTGGAGAGGTGAAGTTAGCTAGTATTCCTAAGTACGTCCTGATGCAGTGCTCAGGCAAGGCTTACAAGTACTTTACCGCGAATCCTGACGCTACTTCCTGGGTTCTTCCGGCTGATTCGATGGACGCTGATGCTGCTACGGCGCATCTGAAGTGGATGGACGAGATGACCTATCAGAGCAGGGTCTACTCTGTCCGTCTCCAGACTGAGACGGTATATGACAAGAAGAACTTGCATATCTGCCGCGCTGCCCGTGTCTTGGGCCTCAACAACACGTACGTGGCCCAGTTCACCAAGCAGTTCTGCGATAGGATCCGTGCCCAGGACGTGTCCTTCGAGTTCATGGACCTTCTTTGCCAGTTGGCATACCCGGAGAACGACCCAGTGTTTGACTGCATGGTTCATAACCTTGTCAACCAGAAGAAGGTTGGAAACGCCAAGGGCGCAGCCGATTTGGAGAAGCTGATGGCCAAGCATCAGTTCCTGAAGGAGAAGGTAGAGAAGATCGAGAAGCGGATCGGAGGTCGTCCACGCAAGACTTGGAACTCCCCCGAGGGCAGTGCTCGTGGTGGAAGCAACGACCGCAGCGGCAGCAAAGGTGGAAACCGTGGCAAGTCAGCACCGCGCAACCCGCCTGTCGCACCAGCGCCTGGTAACAAGCCAGTTACTCCTGCGCCGGGTGACGCATTGTTCACCACTCTCCACTAGGTCCGCCTAGTGACTTGACGCGGTGTACGGGAGGGAGGGATGGAGTACACCGTGGAAGATGACCGATGATTTGACGACTTTCACGACGCGAGCGCATTCCAATGCGTTCAAGCGAGCGAGAGTACTGTCTGCTCTGTAGCTCTTTGCATCTACAGTGGAAAAAAGGGTATATAGAGCGAAAGCTTGATTCATTGATAGGACTATAGGACGTCTGGGTGTATTTTCAGCGCCATCAACGAATGTCAGGTAGTTATAGTTGGTAATGTCATCGATGGACACAAACATCTTTCATACATGATCATAATCGTGCAGCAAACTCGTGAATATGTCTCATTAGGAGTTGTTTGTCTCTTTGATTCCATTGTCGTAGCCGAGTGTATGTTCTAACATCTACATTCTACACCCTTCCGACTAACACAAAGATACTTGACGCCCTTGTATGGCGTGACACCACTGCCCAAACCTTTACTCTTCTTTTGGTCTACATTCAAACTCTCCACTTTGATCCCACTTGGCAGCCAGCCCTTTACGGAGAAGCTGATGGTCGCACAGCTCGGCATGAGGACTTTGTTTGCCTGTTTGATCTTCGCATCGCTATCTGGCTTGGGCACGCTGGACGATGAAGCCGCAGGTAAAGACACCTGTTTACCCTGATCATCGTCGTAATCGTACGTCGATGTTGCGAAAGAAACGGGTCCTCCAGCGTCCAAGGCATCCTCCGCAGATGGGTCATCCTGGCCAATAACAGTCCCACGCAATGTAGCCGTAGCACCGACCCCTCCTCCACGGTCTTGCGACATGAGATTGCTTATCTCGCGACTGCTAATCCGCCATTCTATTGCCCGATCTCCAGGCGCGTAGCCAGCATCTCCTGTTCCACGCGCGACGCGTAGATCCGCGACGTTTCTGACAGACGCCGGAAGCGGGATGTGGATAGTCATCTCTTCGATTGCGGGGGCGGACGTGGTTCCTGTCGAGGAGGATACGCGTCCCAAGCTAGCTTTCGCCGCGCTGGGTTGGGAGGGTTTGTTTCCGCTGAAGCGTGGGTTGAGTTGGAGTTTGACCTCGAAGTCTGTGCCAGTCGGGCCGAGGGAGGGGTGGACGGATACTGTAGCTGGTATGTTTAGCTTTGGACTTGCAGTCTTTGCGTTCTTCTCTGTGGAGAATGCATCTAGTGCTGCAGAGCCCAGCAGGTCCACTTCGTACCCAGCGAGCACGAAGCGACCGTCTGGCGGTACGAAGGAAAGTTCACCTGGCCTCGCTTTCCACTGGTTGAGTCTGACACAGGGATGGAAGACAGGGAGTGAGACCGCGTTCTGTATGCCGCCCGCGCATCCCAGATGTAGTATGAGATCTGGTATTCCAGAGACCTTGGCTGTGAAGGCGATGGTGCCGTTCGCCATAGCGGCTAGAGGGCGACCAGATGGTGACAAGGTGACCTCCAGTGTTTCCACGATATCCACATACATCTCGTTGCTTGTATGCCTGACGTTCGCTCTTCTCCACGGCACCGGTGAGCCTGTCTGACTTGAGGTCGGTGATGGTCCTAGTCGTGGGCTTGCTCTTCCACCGCCTAGACCAAATGCTCCGGTAGCAGAGGGCGCGAGCGAGCTCGGTGTCGAAGAAGGCAGTCCCACTCCTCCCAGTAGACTCTTGAGTAAATTCGGCGCTTCGACGACATCTCTCAGCGCGTTCGGTTCTGTGTTCGCGATGATTCCGCCATCCACCATCTCGCTGAGTAGCTGCGCGACAACATCGTAGTTTCCCTCGATCTTGCTCGCCAGCAGTGGTGACCCCAGGAAGTCCTCGAGGACGTCTGTCAGGCGGTGGAGGAAGGTGAGGACGGCGAGGGGATCGGTGTCTGCTGATGCCGGGCACAGGAACAGAAGCTGGTCTTGTATTATGCTGTATAGCAGTGTCGGCGGGTTGGTGTTGGGCAGATATATCAGCGGCGGCCGGGGGGCGGGATGCGCGAGATAGAGAGGCAGGAGGACGGAGGATGGAGGCGGGCGGTTGAGGTATGTGTGCTCGAGCAGTGGAGTGCTAGAGATGTTAGAGAGAGATAACGTAATCGCTGGAATAGACGCGTCTTACTTGTGCTCATCAAAGATGTAGAGAGCTTCGATTGCGCTCATGGTGGGAAATGTCAGCTGCGAGCCATGCGCGTGGGAAGACGTGAGGTCCGCGTCGTGGGGCAGTTTGGGCGGGGAGCTTCCGGAGCTAGAAAGATCCCTGCATGCCTAGCATGTCATGCAGACTTCTGGTCGCAAGATCTTTACACGATAGAGCCAGCGTGTTGCATCTGAGTTAGTCGCTGGGCTGTCTGTCTAGCTTCGCGATAATGGCACTGCCACCTCCTTCCGCTCCGACCTTCAAAGAGGCTCTGAAGAATGACAGAGCGGAATTTGAAGATTGCACTCCATGTCGCGTAGTCGGTATTGTACTCTAGAACACACTGTATCTACTTCAGTACTGACATGGTTGTTAGGGAGCGCTACATTTCTGGGCCTCGGCGCCTTCACGTACGTCTCGGGCCATTCACAGATCAAAGCCAACGAAGCCGCGATACGAGCCAGCAAAAGCATCTTCGGAATGCGGAGTAGGGGAATGGCAATAACAGGAACAAGCGCCGTCATGGTGGGCCTGGGGTTATATCGGTGGTTCGCATAATGGGAGGGGGTAAATGGAGATGCAGGAAGGTCACAAGCTTAAAATGTATCATATGCGGAAAGACTTGAGTACAAACTTTGGCATGCATCGGCGTTTGGGAGTAACATCTTCACGAACGAGATGAGTCACTGCATATGGCATACAACAGTTGAGGGCATGTAATGATGGTATTAACACCAAATCCTCAAAAAAAAAAGCTATCTACTTCCACCCCAAATGAGGTCCCACCCCGTAGAAAATGCGAAAAGGTACATAGCCTCCGAAATCAATAACACCACAGAATGCGTCTAGTAAGCCTCCCCCAATGTGTATGAAAAGATGATCCACAAGCCCTGTGCGCCGTCTGGGTATGATGCAAGTAGTCGTGATTCGTCGAACGGTCGTTCGTGTCATTGCCTGGAGTTCGATGACAGGTCCTCAGGCTTGGAGCTGCAGTGCTATGACATGCGTCCGCGCTTGGATCCTCCGCCTGATGAGCCGTCTCGCCGGTCGTTGAAGCCATCGACGTTAAAGAAGTCGTTCATGAGTCGTCTCTTCTGCCCTGCACCGTTGCCTAGTTGGAAGAGGTTCTGGGCGGCGGATCGCTGGAGGTTTCGGGTAGACGAGCGGTTCGTAGGGCGGCGAGAAGCAGTGAAAGCGCGGCGGGCAGCAGCTGACATGTCGGCGGCGGCGATTTCGTTTGGTGAATCAGAGGGTAGAGCTTGTGCGGCGGAGAACTCGAAGATGTGGTGTAGTGGCGACATGTCGGCCTCGGTCGTAGAAGCTTCCATCTGGAGGGGCGGCGCAGAGTCAGAGCGTGTTTCCGTGACCGTCGTGGGTACCAGTGTGCGTGAGTCGTCCATGCCGTGGGTTCGGTCCATGATGGGTGATGAGCTTCTGGCGCGGTTGTTATCGAGGTATTCGTCGTCGCTGTCGCTGCTCGTCTGCTTGGGCAAGCTCCCGTCTAGTCGTTCCGTCGCCCACTGCCGTATTCGCCAGCCCTCGCCGTCACCCACACCAATATTCTCCTTGTCGAGGAAGGTAAGCAGGTCATCGAGAGCCTCCTGGTAGCCGTCGGTACGAGCCCTGTCGATGTCGGCAAGCGCGGACTTGTACAGGTGCGTCACGTTGAGGGCAGCGGTGCGGAAGGACTGGTGCACGTCGTGCTGCCCTCTTGTCTTGGGCAGCGACTTGTTGAGGCTGCGCATCGAGTCCATGGTGGTTGTAGGAGCTGTTTGCGGCAGGTGCGGTCGTGTCAAATCTTTGTCGGGCTCCACTGCGTTGTGGCCGGTGTTCGGCACCCGTGGGCGATGCAACCGTGATGGGGAGCGAGATGGAAGAAGAAAAAGTAGATGAAGCTGGTAAGGTGAACGACAGTGCTGTTCACTCGGAAGGAGCGTGGCTTCTCGTCGCTCGCTGGGTTGAGGTCGTGCGCTGCTCCTGGACTCGCGGGGTTGACGCTATCACGGGCTCTTAGCTCCGGGCTAGGCCCTGACAGCATGTGCCACCCTTCACCCGTCCCCGTCAACATGCTTGATTCACAGCCCCAGCTTCCAGTCAGCATGCCATCATGACTTCGCACCTAGAACGCCTTCCTGTCGAGCTGTTCGAGCTCGTTGCTGCCACTCTCAATATCTCGTCTCACAAAAGCCTTCGTCTTGCATCCAAGAGATGTCGCTTCCTCACCCATTCTGTGTTTGTAGAACGCGCTTTCTCCCGGCTAAAGACTACTCTTGGACCACCCTCTCTCAACCGTCTCGTCAACCTGGCGCAATCGCCTCATTTTCGTGGCACTGTCAAAGTCCTACAGATCCAGCTCCTGACTTCAGCGGAGTATAGTGTCCTCACTGCTATTAGCCGTGTCGGCAGGTTTCCGCCACCCAAACGATTTCCCAGGGTACCTGGCATCCAAGACAAAGATATCAAGGACGAAGCACCCACATTCACATATGTCGTGGAATGCGAGTATCCAACCCGCTTGTACGATGGCCTTGTTCGAGCATTGCGAGGCTTCACCAACTTGACGGCCATTCACTTCCATCCGAGGGGATCCCAGCTCGCGGAATCCAGCAGTCTTCTTTCCGCAACCGATCGCCTATTTCGTAGTAGATGCTTTCGGATCGTCATGGACGCCATCGTTAACAGCGAGGTCCGTCTGAGCGAGTTTCGTATGGCCAAGTGCAAGCGTGGGACTGCGCTGCACCGGGAGGCTATTCTACCATTCTCGGCACTTCAAATACCTACGCAATCTCTGAGGACACTGCATTATCGCTTTTCGCACCTCAAGGTTCTCACTCTCTCTGCTTTGTCTAGAAACGATGACCTCTCTCGCACACCTGGTTGGCAGAATGGGGTCGGAAATATCATTGCCACTGCACCAAACTTGAAAAGCTTCACGATGAGTCTAGATCGGACTAACTATGCCGCAGCCATCGTTCACCACATGGTTGCTTCTTGCGCTTGCCTTAAGCTAGAAGTACTCCAGCTCATGTTCTGCGCATTGCATGGAGACGACCTAGTCGCTATTATCAGAAGCCAGGCCGCGACATTGCGACGAGCTGTATTCTCTGACCTTCGCCTTGTGACGGGCACTTGGTCGTCATTATTACACGCTCTAAAGGAGTGTGGGAATCTCGAACATCTGCGCTTCAGTTCGCACTCGGGGGCAGAGCATCCAGTTCGTCGTCTGGACGTGGCCCGAGGACATCGCACAATGACCGATATGGTGGATGAGTTCATCGCCGTCTTCGATACTTCAGCAGGTGCTTCCATCTCACAAGAAAGTGGCTTCGTTGACCCTCATCATCACGCTGGTCTGTCATTGGCCAGAGCCAGTACCACAGTACCAAGTGAATGAGAGACTCACCCACGGTTACCAAACTACACCACTCTGCTCTTGCGTTGTCGTTAATCAACGCCCATTCGGCTCACTACTATCACAGTCCATCCGAGTGCTATTCTGGTTTTCACCCACCTCGACGCAACACGACTTCATACACTCCTCAACCGTATCAGTCACGCTGAAGATGACACCGATATCCCAACTCTCGAAGGCGGATGTCCGCCTATTCTTGCGACAGCTACAGGCCAATTCTGCCGACGTCACCAAGTGGGAACCGATGATGCGCCTTTCCCTGCTGCGCGGTGGGCTCATCGATTTCACAATTTATGGCCGCCGTGTAGCATCAGCGCCTCGTCTTGCTTTGATGGCTGCATCTCAGAGCGCTCTTGCATTCCTCGCCAAGCATCCTTGCGCACCAGCAATCAACTTCACCTTCGACGTACCCGCTGTACAGCTGCGAGGTGGAAATGGCCAGGCAAAACTCGTCTCCGGGAAGTGCAAGATGCGCGAAGCTCAGATCAAGATCCATGAAGCTGCTCTTGTTGCGATCTCACAGTGGCTTACCGCCCTGTGCACACCCGCACTGATGCCTCTTGCCGGAGCTAACTTCTCGATCGAGACCTGCATCCGCTTCATCTGCGTTCACACTCTACACGCGCCAGAGTATGTCCAGCACCTGACTGACAAGTTTATTACGGACGCCGGTAGGCTTGCACTGAGCTCGCAGCAGGTGACAGAGCTTGTCAGCTCGTGCCGCGGTGACAACGACCAATTGCTCATGGGGCTCGCGGAGAAGTTGATTGGGAAAAAGCTCGACGGCCAGCTCGCTCCTAAGCAACTGAGCATGTTCTTGTGCAAGGCAGGCAACGAATTACTGAAGAAGAAGGTCGAGACTCTGGAGAAAGAGATGGGCTTCACGACTAAAGGGACGGGCCCGAAGGCGGCATTGCAGTCCTGGACTGAGGGGTTTCCTTCCTCGTTCCCCACAGCGGCAACCCGTTCCGCGGGGCGGATTCATGAGACCAAAGACCATGAGATAATCGAGATCGACAAAGACGTAATGGAAGTGGATGCAGACGGGTGGCAAGTGCCTCCTCGTACGAAAGAGGATGCGGCAGCGTCGAAGAAGCGGAAATTGACGCACAACAAGGATGGGACGAAGTAAGTAATTGTCAAGCTGGAGAGGGGATTGACCGGTTCAAGCTGCAGGCGCTGTGGGCTATGACCTGGACATCCGAATTGATCTCTGATCGTCGACCGGGAGTACCATACAGGTCTAGCACGATGCGTTGATGCCAGCCTTTAACGATGGGCTGCCTGTAAAGATCCTAGGCATACGAAAGAAATTCTGCCCTTCAAACTGAAATGGAAAAAATACTACTGTCTGCTGATGTGCTTACGGGGCTAGACTATTGCGCATTGCCTGGCAGGCTTATACAGGTGATAACTAATACATCCTATCTCATTTGACCTCCGCTCGTTCGTGAACGACCTAGATACCGGTCAGTCCCCACCGACTAAGATGATGGCCTCGATTCGGCACACACCACCGAGCGAGATGTCTACACGAACATGCAGTTGCTCCACAACGCTACCGCCACCACAAAAGCTTGATCTCACATCGATCTGCGTCGCTTCAACCATTCCGACATCTAGCGAGAACATGCATGCATCGGAGCTCTAATGAGTGGGTAGTGGGGTAGCGCTGACCGGAACACCAAGGTTTTGCCGGCAGGACGCCTCGCTCTCGCCTGCGTCTGCGCAGGTAGCACAGTACCGAATACTTGGGAATAGATCACTTCACTCCAGGGTCTGGCTGAATCTGTGTATGAAGGAGCAGGGCCTGCATGAGATGGAATCGGGATGGAATCGCTGGTAGAACCCAATCTAATTATGGAACCGTGTAGTAGCGCGCTGCGGGCGAGCCCTGACGTCTTGTCAAACTATCGCGAAATGCCTCGCCGTGTCAGCAACGACCCTCAGACCTGACAGTACGCACTCAGAATCTCATCGTACCCAAACGAGACGACGAAAAAACGAATTCGGCTCTCCATGCTGAGGTCCGAGCAGACTGTGCGACGAATGCACTGCTTCTGGAAACATTCTGTGGATCACCCTTGTGCCGATGCTGTCGATCTCACGTCGGGGATTTTGCGCACCGACAACAACACAGCGAACGCGCCAAGATCAACATTCCACGACCGCGAAAACCTTGAAGCCACTTGTCAGCGCCAGCGCTGAAGATACGTCTATCACACCTGTCAGGGTCCGGGCCTTGCTGTAGCTCGACATTAGTAACTGGGAACGTGTTCCGGTGCGCGATACTAGGCAGGAAGTCGCATGTAGCGCGAGGCCGCCAACGGCTTACACGACCCCCCATCCACCAATGCCATGGACCGGAATCGTCAGATCTTAGAAGTGGGTACGGCTCGAATCGGTCAGAATGGAGACAAGAGATGCAGAGGGTGAGGAATTGTAGATTGCCGGTGGGTAAGATCGCTGTTTAGTGTTTATCGAATTTCCTACAGTTTGCGCGGATGCGTCGGTACGGCTGTCATCACCATCGGTCTAATTTTGATCGCGACCCATCTCACGGTCAGCCAGCCGTTGAGAGCGGCGAACGTTGGTGTTTGGGTATATATTTCTTTGGGGGTTCTCAAGTTTTGGTTTCGTCTGGCTCAACAGTTCAGCACGTTTTCTTCTTTCTTTCTTCTTCCAAAATCGCTAGCCTTGCGTTCATATACTGGTATCATTACGATCGTTGAAGTCGGATCTTTGAGCAACACAACTATCTCCAAGGACCTTCGCTACTTCTCCAATATGCGTTACTCCGCCATCACCCTCGTTGCCCTTACGGCGACATCAACTTCGGCCTTCTCCCTATGGCCTCGCCAAAGCTCTAGCTGTCCTTCCGTCTGGACTGCCGTCGCCACCGAGCTTCAAGCCGACTTTGCTGGTTGTGGCGCGGATGCTCACCAAGCCCTCCGTGCCCCCTTCCACGACTGCATCAACAATGGCTGTGACGGCAGTCTCGTTCTCACAGACGAGTGTGGAAGATCAGAGAACGCCGGTCTTTCAGCTATCTGCACGAAGCTCAAGGACTGGAGCGACAAGTACCAAGTCAGCGCAGCAGACATGATCCAATTCGCCGGCGCACAAGCAATCGCCGCGTGCCCGCTCGGCCCCAGAGTGCAAGCACTAGTTGGCCGCAAGGACAGCTCGAACGCTGCGCCTGTCGGAAGTGTACCCAGCAGCCGTGGCACCCTCGAGAGCATCTTGGGAGCCTTTGCTGCGAAGGGCTTCTCATCCGACGATGTCGTTGCTCTCATGGGTGCGCACAGTGTGGCAGTCCAGTTTCACGACGACCCATCGCAAGCCGGAAAGGGTCTTGACTCGACACCTTTCCGATACGACAACACCTTCTACCAAGAGACCAAGGACCGCAAGGCCCCTTACAGTCTCCAAAGCGATCTTCTCATGTCGAACTCTTCAGAGGTATGTGTTCACGATCTCAACATCCTCACCTGATCCGTCACTAACTATCTTTGCAGACATCAACCATCTGGTCCAACTTCGCTGAAGACGCGAACAGCTGGTCTACCGCCTTCACTAGCGCGTGGGACCGATTCGCCGTCATTGGAAGCGACGCCAGCAAGCTCCAAGATTGCTCGAGCTTGGTCCCCAATGGCTTCGTGACCACGAAGAGGCAGGCGTTCAACATGGCTTTCACTAAGAAGATGAGCGCCAAGTTCAGGTTGTAAGAGACATGATAGCATATGTTGCTCAGTCTGGACACTAATAGCGATGGCATGGCGTTTGGGTATTAGACCATGGTGGTTCTGGGGCGGCTTTACTGTGCTTTCATGATACTCCGCAATACGTTGCACGTTAATGTTTACTTTCATTAATGTATTAAATCAATCCCATCTTACTCATACATCTTCCATTACTAGTTTGTACGCGCTCTTTACTGGAGATCCTCCCTCACCTTTACCATCACCTTTACCCTCATCCTGGGCACGTGTCATGCGAGCTAGCAATGAGCATGCAAGCGCGAAGATGCCGACTATATAAAGTCACCACATCTGCAACCTTACTACAATACCCTTCAGCTTTCCTGAATTAAATCTTGCAACCCAAGAAACATGGCGTAAGTGTGCACTACCCATGCAAAAGCTTCAACACTAATCGTCTAGTGGACGAAAGCGCCCAAGTGACATCAGTCAAGATAACGCCACTTCTGCTACCGCAAGCACGCGTGGGAAGCGGGCTCGTAAAGAGATCGTTAACGACAAGTCTCCTCTCCTCAATCTCCCTGGAGGTAGGACACAACTTTCGATCTATTTCAAAGCAAGTCGCTAACTGACGACATAGAATTGAGGAATCGTATCTACGGATACGTTATAGCCGACACAAAAGAGTACAAGAGTGGCAAAACACGCGACAAGTATTATAGGTCAACATCCAACGCCAGACCCATCGTCCTGAAGTACACTTCTATCAAGGCAGCAAAGCGCTACAAGACGGCAAAACAATGGGTCAGTGCTCATAGACGACGCCACTACTTTGGTCTTACCCAGGCCTGTCGCTTGCTCCGCCACGAGTTCCGTCCGCTCTACCTCGAAGAACTGTCTTTTGGGATCAAGTCAGGTCTTGGTCAGTTCCTTGTAATCTTTGGACACAACGACGAAATCCAGGCTATGGGTCACCACATCTTCAGCATTATGAGCAATTCTCTGCCGCACGATGGTATAGACATCCTAGCTGTCTTGAAGAAGATGTCTGATCTCAAGATGCCACGACTCCTGTTCCGCTACGAGATTTACTCGGGTCGGGGACCTTGGAACATCAACGATCTGTTTCTTACGTTGGTATCACGCATGCATTCTCTTATAAACCCTGTTGTCGAGGGTTTCGATCTCACCAGTATTACGATCTTCAAGGACCTAGAGTGTCGTGGCTCTGAACAGCGCAGTAAGCCATCGCTGCGAATGAACCTGGACAACAAAGACTTTTCCTCGTGGAGCCAAGAGGTGAGAGAGAGCCACATGAAGACTTTGATCAGGCATGCTGGTATGGAGCATATTGATGGCATCCGTACAACAGTCTGCTGTGACGGTCGAAGCTATCTGTGGTATATTCCTGGCATCATATACGATGACTGGCATGCCTCAGAAATGCGATTGCTTTCGGAGGAGACTGACTAGAAATTTGCATCTTGTCAGCGCCATGAAGGAACGACATGCATGGTTTGGGATAATGCGGGAATGATTGAAATTGCACTATCGTGCTAGGAGTTATGGTTGCGGAAAAGTTGAGCTCACGGATTTCTTTCGCAGCTCCTCACAGGAGTTGTGAGTCGCAGGAGATGGTCCTTGGGGCTTGTTTATTTGCCTTTCTATCCTTCTACTTGCAAAGAAAAGTCTGTCAGTGGTTTCCAATGCTAAATCAAAAACAAAATTGTCTCCGTGTGAGTTCACAAACGGCTGAGAATATACGCTGTCGTGTGACCTGCCACACATCAATAATCAGTGCAACGAATACCCCAACGGTATTTTAGGTCGATTGTAACAGTCCATCCCAAGAATTCCGCAATGGGTGTTGACGGTGTGACAGTCTTGACAAGTAAGAATTGGAAGTAGCTTCCTTACTGACCGCAATGACGTCATGCGCGCAAACCTGGTCGAGAAGGTCCGCGGCTGCCAACCTCAGAGGGAAGCTGCGAACTCCATCCACCCTTGTCACGACAGTGCCACGCCTACCATCTAAAGAGACAAGCTCTACCTACACACTAACACCATGACCGCACCTCCGTCCTTGACGTCTCCACCCGATACTCGCAGATCGCGCGAAAGCGACCTCATTCACGAAAACGACACGTCGTTCCCAACTATCGCGTTCTTGCCTGCAAGCTCTTGTCCGATCTTTCCAGGATATCCAGAAACCACTGCTGGAGATGACACAGTGCCCCAACCAACAGAACCGCTTCGTCAAGAATTGTCCTCAAAAGAAGTAATGCAAGACTATGATCACTGAGAATTCCGCGCGCTTACCGCCCAAAAGATGTGCCCGATGTCGCATCGGGTAATAGGTTCATTAGACCGTTTTGTAACATCAGAAGTACCATATCAATCCTCTCTCACCTTTACCTTCATTCCGACTATGTGCACGTGCCACACGAACTAGTAACAAGCATATAAGCGAGGAGAAGTCGATTAATATAAGCTGCGATCGCTGCAACCTACGCCACGATACGTTCAACCTTTCTATGTTTCTTGACGAGACGTCGCAACCCAACAGCCATGGCGTAAGCGTCTACTGCCCGTTCAACAGCTTCAAGACTGACCGCTTACCAGATCAGAGCGCGAAGGCAACGCACTTCTTGATCTCAAGACTCCCCCTCCCAAGCGGGCTCGTAAAGACGTTGCCAACAAAAAGTCTCCACTTCTCAGCCTACCTGGAGGTACGAAGGTCTTGATTTCGATAGATGGAGGTACTAACCATTCGAATAGAGATCAGAAATCGTATATACGAACTCGCCCTAGCGGACACAATGCGGGAACTTAATGGTCGTCGAATCCGTCTAACATACGGGTTAATCAAGGCCTCTCGCCAGCTAAGTAGGTTGTATCTCGTTATGGACCTTTGCCCGACGACTGAGGAACTCGAGAGCTGGCAGTCCAAGTTCGACACATACTGGAGAGCAGCGCATGGGCAGTGCAAATACTGGGGTCTCATCCAGGCTTGTCAAGTATTGCGTCAGGAATTCCGCCCTCTACAACAAAGAACTCTACCTTTCACCATCTTAGCGCAGCATCTTAGCCAATACCTTTACGCTTTCGGCACAACAGAAGATGCGTTGACTCTTGGAAAGTCGCTCACGGCCATCATAAAGCAACCCCTCCTTCCAGGTGTGAGGTTGGACATCCTGCCGCTTCTAAGAAAGCTTTCCAAGCAACGGAAGTCGCTTCCTTGGCTTACCGAGCGTTCTCTTGGGGAGGAAAGCCGCTGGAAGACTAGCAACCTGCTCACTACGTTGTTCTACCATTGGGCCCAACCGCCAAAGGGTCTCGAGGTTGTTGAGCGTGATATCGCCTCTGTCACTCTGACCATGGGCAAGACATACGGTCCTCATGGCGCTCATGACCAGCCATCGATGATCATTGGACTGCGCTGCGCCTGTTTCACCGATCTCACTCCTGATCAGAAAGGCGCAACCATGCTGGACTTTATCAAGGCAACCGGGCTGGAGAAATTGCGTTGCTTCATCACGGAGTTCCGCTGTTGTGAAAGGCGCTACACGTGGCAAATGTCTGGGGGTGAGTCCGGGGCGACTGAATCCCCGATGCAGATCTCTGAAGTCCAAGACGAGGATTAGCGGTTGTTGTTGAGGAACCGGAGTGGATACCAAGAATGGGTTGGAGTCCTGGTCGATTGGTCAAGAAAAGTTGGCATTCACAGTTCTGGAGGGCGAGATGGCGGTATAGAATTAAAAGCAATGATTTTTGTTCCGACAGCTCCAACGTCTTCTGGGTTACGACGCTTGTATTTGATCAAAATGCAGGAGAGATAAGATTGAGGACATACACAACGCGGTATCTGCAAGGCAAGACCAACACGAGATTGACTGGTGTTGTGGTGATCAAGCAGCTCTAAGGCATGTCAAACCGCATGACTTGTCGCTCCCCCATGTTTGATGGGGCGGGGATACCTTTACGGTATGCTACAGAACTCGTATCGCATTCTACAAATAACTTGGGTTTGTAGGATACATTATCTTGGAAGCTGCGTAGTTATCAGTATTTATGTGATGTATACTGCAAACTGCAAGCTACGACAGGACGAGCTGTGGCCACACCTAGTGGCATTGATCTCTTGAAAACGACTCGTCTCGAGTGGGCACGTTATCAGGACGTGAGTCAGCTTCAAATTGGCTGCGGCAACATACAGACGAGAATGCACGGAGGACAAGCGCATCAATGAATTGCAGTGGTATGCACCCGACCAAATATATAAAACGGCATGCAATAGACGTAATAGCAAAGTCTGCAGATCAGGGTGGTAATCATGAAGAGGTAGAAGTATCATTCCAAAAACATCGCTACAAGAATCGAAGTTACCCATCTAGGGTAAGTATATATACAAGATGAATATCGCAAAAGATGCGAGATTGTCTACTGAAGAGCCTCAATCATACGGCGGATCTTAGCAGCAGACTCGGTACCAGCCTCTTGCTCAAGGAAAGCAATGAAGGTCTCGAGGGTGTATGTCTTCTCACCAGCACCGGCTGAGGGTACGGACGAAGCAGCAGGCTTGGTGGGCTCAACAGCCTCGGGTGCGACGGAGGTGGGCTCAGCCTCGATCGGGGCGGCAGGGGTGGGCTTAGCGGCAGAGGGCTTGGGAGCCTCAGGGGTAGGCTTGGGGGCAGCGCCGGTGGGCTTAGGGGCAACGGCAGTGGGCTTAGGGGCAGGAGCGGAGGGCATAGGACCCTTGGAAGGGCCGGGCTTGTTGGCCTCAGGCTTGACGCACTGGGAGTAGTATGGGTTCCACTCCTTGCACTCAAGACCCTCAGCGCACTTGTTGTCACCCTTGAAGCCCTGGCCACCACACTGGTAGTACTCCTTGATGGGACCAGATGGCTCAGCGGTAGGAGTGGGGCGGACAGCGGTGAGCATGGTGGTAGGAGCAACGATAGCGCTGGAGACGGTGCCAGGAAGCATCGAAGAGGTGCTGTTGGCTACGGGGTAGGGGGCAACAACGCTGGAGACCTCAGGAGCAGCGGCAGAAGAAGCGGCAGCGGAGGTGGCGGCGGCAGAGGTAGCGGCAGCGGAGCTCTCAACGGCAGAAGAGACCTCAACTGGGGCAACCGAAGAAGGCTCAGCCTCGGCAGCGGCGCTGGTGGAAGCGGGAGCAGCAGTGGAAGAGGCGACAGCGGAGGCCGGGGTGGAGGCAGCAGGAGTCTCAGCACCGCCAGTAGCGGTAGCAGCAGGGGCACCGGCGAGCTCGCCGAATGTGAGAAGCTCGGGGGTAGCCTCAGTACCACCAGCGATGAGCGCAGGGCCAGGGGCGGGGTACGAGTCGAGATCGGCGTGGATGGAGAAACCAAGACCAGTGCCAGTCTTGGAGTAGGCCTCTGGGAAGGTGACACCCTTGGGCTCGAGGGTTCCGCTACCGGTGACGGTAAGCTGGTAGCAGGTCATGTAATGCTGAGCACCACCAGCGGGGCCTGCAGCGTGAAGGGCGATAGCCTCAGCACGGAGGAGGTAGTCACCAGGGGCGATGTTCTTGGGGATGGTGAAGTCGAGCTTGCCGCCTATTGGATTGTTAGCAGTAGTTTCCAGAAGACATGATGCCGTACGTACAGTTGTAGTTGAGGTCCTTGGTGCCCCAGAAGTCGTTGTCGCCCTGAGTGGCATCTGGGTTCTTCGCCCAGGTGTTCTGGTAAACCTTGAAGAACTCGCTGGAACCATCGGCAGTGGCAGCATCCTCAACCTTGGACATGTATGCGAGGACGGGACCCCAGTGAGCACCACCAAGACCCTCCTCCTTGCAGTCACGGGTGTTGTGCTGGTGCATCTCGATAGTGACTGTGTCACCAGCCTCAAAGTCGCACTTTCCCTCAGCGGGAGCAGGGCTAACGTTGCCTAGATTGATGTCAGCACAGATCCAAAGTGGGAACTCGAGGGGTACTGACATTGCAGCGCAGTGCTTGTGTAGTCCTCAACGGGGCTGTTGGAAGGTGGCAGCCTGGCACAGGTGCTCTCAAGATCCTTTCCGTTCTTCCAGAGTTGTTGGAAAGTGGCGTGGGCGTTGGCCAGCGCCAGGATGGCGGGGAGGACAGCTACGGACTTCATAGTGTATATATTGATGCGAATAGTGATGTTTGGAATGAGTGACAAGTCAAAAGTTGACAAAAGAGTGACTGAAAAGGCGAAAGAACGAATGAATGACGAAGTCCTGTAGTGAAAGAATGTCCAGCGCAGCTGCGTTACTGTTACAAGTCTGGCGAGCTCGAAGACTTATATCCTCCAGCGCAGGAGATGAGTCCAGCCGTGAAGCCGAGGAATATGTGGCACGCTGCATAGCTAGCCGTTTCGTTTACCACCGGTCCAATCTCGAACCTGACGCCGGGGCGCTATGTGTCTGCAGCCACACTCGGATAGATGAACGAAGGATGGATACCTAGGCCAAGAACAGAACTCTTGGGAACCAGAACCAGGTCCATGGGTCAAACGACGACTGACAGGTTTGACATGTGGAGCGCTGATTGGTGGAGATGCACTGTGCCTGGAGTTCGAGCCGAGTAGAGCTTAGTGCTGTTTTGACATTGGACGAGGCGAGAATCCTTCACATTGCAGGGGCTCTGAGGCATCCTCTGTAAAGTGTTGGCGTTACTGTCCCGCGCAGCAAACTGCACATTGGTGTGGCTATTAACGCATTGCAACTGCTTATTGCGATGGTTGGAGCAGAGCTTGCAGAAGATAGATCGCAACAACTTCTTGATCGCACTTGCTTTGGCACCTGCCCTGCCTCGGAGATGATGGTGCGATAGGGTATGGCTGCAGAATCTAATGATGGCATCCTCTGCAATCTCAAGAATCTGCAGCTTAAGATACAATGCGGGTCTGCCAACCTAGGGTCGAGGTATCAACACCGGCTCGAGTGTGGATATGAACATGTTCGTCGGAGAATGACAAGACGGCTAAATAGCCACAGGATAATACCCTGAGTCGACTTTTACGCCGTATGCGGATGGAGTCATGGAGGAATGCGCGCTCATGCTCATGTGCTTTGCGCGCGGCACGTTGAAACGTCGGGGTGGGGCGAGACGAAACACCAACTGCATGATCGCTGCTGGGGTTGCGGTCGACGCCGTGAAGGATCGCGGTGAAGTGACTGAGTCTGAAGGATGAAGTATCCAACGTTGAGGAGATGAAGGCGCGTATGTAAAGGCGGTGTTGGATCATGGTTGCCAGGAGAGAGAGGCCGCCAGGCTGGTACACACCTAAGGATGATGATGATGTCATCGCCAGCGCGCCGCATCGGCCAAAACTCACAATGCAACTCGTTCTTCGCCGTCTCATGTCACGACAAATTTGTCGCATAACACGTGCAGTCAAGGATCAAGCCTACAACAAGAATTCGTCTCGGTTTCAACAGATGATCAGCATAATTGTTGTTCCCAGTACCTAGGTAGCGACGCTCCGAGAGACCTTCGATCAGCAAATATGGTTATCACCGTATTCACAAGACACTGCATGTCCCCTCACTCAGAGCTTGAGCGTATCTAGCTCATGTTATCAAACTCACCACTACCTCCCACATCTAGGATGAGATGCGGGCTTGTGCACACAGCCGCCAAAGGCGTTATTCAAGGATGACAAGGTCTACTACAGCGATTCTACTGGGCGTAATGCTAAGATACATCTGCAGCTCGCATCGGATTCTTGTTCTGCAATGCGGCAGCATCATTGCAGCCTGCAGCAGTTGGTGCTGTTGCAGCGCCCTTACACCGGTGACAGAGGAATCACCGGTTTCCCAATCTGGAAGACAAACGCAGTAGCGTTGTTGTGATCACAAACTCAACCTTGGAACTCAGCGCCCACAAAGTTTTCTGGAAATTTCAGCGACGCGACCTCTTTCTCATCTCTTCCATTATTTAATGGGCGCGACACACACACCCTCCAATGACCCAAACACTCGGCATAGTCCTCGACCCGGACGCGATGGCGCGCGAGCTCTCTGAAACTGAACGTGAGACTGACGCAGAATTCGAAAGACTTCTCGAAGAAGAAAGGCAGGCCATTGCCGACCACCAGCTCGCTTTGACTCTGTCCGGCTTGAGCACCGATGACCCAGAGTACGTACTCAGCTCGACTTACGCTACAAACCTGGCGAACGATCGCTCTCTCGGTACCAATGAGCAGTGGGCTCGCGCGAAGGAGCTCTACGCAGAGATACACGCATACGAAATCGCTTCGCAAGCGTCAATCGATCCTGATGAGACAAGCGATCCCGAAGAAGAAGTAACCAAAAACTACTCAGAACCGTGCCCGGAAGAGCCCCTCACCCTGTGCGAGGCGTGTCTCGACAAGATACCAACCGTAGACACCCTGACGCTTGAGTGTGAGCCCGTGGCTCATAGCTATTGCCGAAACTGCCTCCTCGATCATTTCACCATGGCTCTTGACGACGTTTCGATATTTCCCCCCAAATGCTGCAAGATTCCAATACCTCTTGAGGTCTGTCGTACCATGCTTCCTCAAGGATATGTCAAAAAGTTTGACCTCAAAGTAGAGGAGCTTGCTACACCGAATCCCACGTACTGCGCCAACTCCGATTGCGCCGCCTTCATTCGAATTCAGGACACAAGCGCCGATGTAGGCACCTGTGTCGACTGCAACGAAACGACCTGTGTGCAGTGCAAACACCGCACACACGACGGATTGTGTCCGAGTGACCCACATGTACAGCTTCTCATGGATGCAGCGAAGCGGGCAAACTGGCAGCAATGTGCAAAATGCAGGAACATGGTTGAGCTTTCCCAGGGTTGTTTCCACATGAGCTGCCGTTGCAGCCACGAGTTCTGCTACCTTTGCGGCCTACCGTGGAAGACGTGCAGATGTCCACAATGGGATGAAAATTTCCTCACTCGCCCTGCTCCTGGCGCTCAGCCAGGCCCCGCTCCAGAGGCGGAGCCCGCTGAGCATTTGCACGTTTGGCAACGTGTGAACGGGGGAAACTGTGAAGATTGCAGCGCTCATTGGCTACAATTCGTCATGCACTGCGGCGGGTGCGGTGTCACTAGTTGCTGGCGGTGCATCGACAATCTCCATTAGAGGCGTTCGACGACCCTGGACAAGTTGAAGGGTACTATTTTGGATCATACGAAGAGAAAGATTCGGGGACCTGGCCAGAAGATTATGTAGGCGCAGGGCGTATGTCGCGAGCGGGTGTCAAGACCTAGAACTTGTACACGAGATCGACGAACGATACTAAACAGACTGCGAAACTAGCTGCGCATGTCGGATTAGCGTTTCAAACCCTATCAGCAATTTTTGTACCCTTCTGAGTTCGGTAGAATGAGCCCGAGGACCACTGACGATGTGGCGGTAGAAGCCTTGAGCCTGGCCCAAACGATTTCTTTTGCCAACCAACATGTCAGCCGATGACTCGTACCCTGTGCTGCATTATCGATGAACGGCCTGTAGCGCGTCACGTATAAGTTCTTCTTTGCCGTGTTCCCATCTTGAGAGCAATGTTGTAGTCGCGATGCCGGTGCTGACAGACAGTATGGCATAGTCATGATCTGAAGGGTAGGAAAGAAAGGCATTCGACATCTAGCTGCATAGCTCCCTTGTGTCGCCACAACACCACCAGTAACGACTGTCAAACCTCAGTCGGAATTACTCTGGAGTAGAAGTGGTCTTGAGCGATCGGCGCCAGGCCCCTTTTTAGCCGGATGCCATGCCCAAGTGTGCGGGAGGTGTCAGCGCTAACCAGTGCTTATCCCGACGCCTCAACACCACTTTGCCAATCACCTCAGCTTCCACAGCGCAGCCTTCTCTTCATCATCTCCACACAGTCAGGAGAACATGCAGTCGCCTGCTTCGTCTAAGCCACTATTGCGAACGGTTCTACGCGATCTTGGGAGCGTAGCATGTCTCTGGGCTACCTAGGCACACGGCACTCACGGCAGCAAAATACGAACCATCACAACAACAAAAGATTAGGCTATGAGTCCCGCATTTCGAGGTATCGAAATATGGTAGCTGATTCAGAATATGGCTACACAGATACCACATGTGGTCCCACATTCCTCGAAGCCGACTCGCAAACAAGTATGGCAATGCCACCATCACACTGGATACGTTGATGATGTACAATCATGTCGCTTGGCATACTCCGGCACGTACCTGCATATCTTCGGGAAAACCTTAAACGCGAAAACGGCGACGGCATGTATGCCGCGGATGCTGCGTCTGCAGATCTTTTCGCAACGTCAATGATGCCGAACATTGAGTGGCTTAGTTCATCTCCTTCTCCCGCCTCGGTGCCCGAAAGACGCCAAGGGGAACACGGGTTGGGCTCAAAAGTAACGCTGAGCTCTCATGATCTACTCGCTATACTGTTTACCTGATCCACAAATGGAAGCCTTACAGCGCATTGCTTCTTGCGCCTCGCCTCGCCTCGGGTGTCTCGACCATATTCAGATTCACGGCCCATACTTTTTCCCGCCACATAGCTCGCTTCATCGTATTCTCAAGCCCCACGGCCAAACATAGAACGTTGGGTATTTGGCATACTGTCATAGAATCCCATATAACATGGCCTTCAGCATACCTTCAGATGCAGTGTCTCGCGTCTCAACACAGTCGTTCCTTCTTTGCGCAGTCAAGCCTGTTGTGGTCGCTCGTGAACAGTCATACGGCCAAGTTTTGTTGCTACAGTCATGGTAGCCTACGCTCCTTACTTCGCCGCTACGGCTTCATTGTCGTCTGTCCTCCACGCAGTCACCCCTTCTGAGTTCAGCACCGCGCCCATCTGCCAGGTCGTCACAGCTACAGTCACTGAATACGCCACAGCACGACCCACGACCAACTCTCATGGGCATGGTGGGCCATACTACAATCCCTACAACGACGTACCTCTCCCTTTCGAGTGGCCGGGTAAACCATCACATGGAGAAGCGTACGCTCCTCCTCAGCCTTCGACACCCTACGAATACGGCGGGCCCGCCAAACATGACTACAAAGAACCGTGCTGGGTTCCCAAGGGCACCGACCATCTGAAGAGCTCACTTTCAAATGTCGAACAGTGTGGTAACTCACAATGGGGTTTGATCGACTCTCCCCATCTCCCGGCAAATGGTCTCCCGGGCAGTAATCCCGATGGCGCATATACATCTGAACCAACGAGGCTTCCATCAACACATTCTCTCCACCCTACAGTGTCTGGTTATCCATACAGTTATGCAAACGCCACAGGGTCTACTACTTTCGGACCGACTGCTACAGGGACGCTCGAGCCTATCGCTTCTGCGGCCTCCAAACCAAAGGCTGATCTTCTTTGCCCGTCCATGCCTGACACTGGCGTGACACGAACATACGATCTTCACGTGGCTTATCAAACGATTGCTCCAGATGGTGTTACCAGAAATGGACTCACGGTCAATGGTCAATTTCCCGGTCCTTTAATCGAAGCCAACTGGTATGAATTGTTTTACAACATTGTAATGCTTCAACTGACCGCATCAGGGGTGATTGGATCCTGTGGAGAGTTACGAATGATTTGACTGATGAGGGTACTACCCTTCATGCCCACGGCCTTTTCCAGACAGAAAGTACCTGGTATGACGGTGTACCCGCGGTCAGTCAATGCCCGATCACTCCAAACGGCGGTTACTATGAGATGCTTTTCCGAGCCGACCGCTACGGGACGTCTTGGTATCACAGTAAGTTCTTCAGTACTACACTGAGATACGCAAAAGCTAATTTTCTAGGCCATTACAGTGCGCAATACTCCGGTGGCGCTCACGGCCCCATGGTCATACATGGGCCGAAACACGAGGATTACGACATCGACATCGGCCCCATCATTCTCGAGGATTGGTTCCACGCTGACTACTATACCCTTGTTGAAGGCACTATGAACGGCCAATTCCCGCCCTCCAACAACAATCTCATCAATGGAAGAATGAATTACCCATGTGCCAATACGACCTTGCCTTGCACGCCTAATGCAGGTATCTCTAAGTTCAAATTCCAGTCCGGAAAGAAGCATCTACTACGCCTCATCAACACAGGCGCTGAAGGCAACCAGAAGTTCAGCATCGATGGGCACAAACTGAAAGTCATCGCCGTAGACTACATCCCGGTCGAGCCGTACACGACCAACGTCGTCACGCTTGCTGTCGGTCAGCGCACTGATGTTATAGTCGAAGCTACCGGCAAGCCTAGCGATACCTTCTGGATGCGCTCTCAACTTGCTCAAGGCTTTCGCTGCACACTCACCGACGGCATCTCACCCAACGCTCTTGCGGCAGTATACTACGAGAATGCCAGTACCGACGCTATCCCCAAGTCTACCTCTGATGTCACGAAGGAACAACTCGAGCAATGCAAGAACGACCCCATCACCCAGGGTATCCCGCTGTGTAAGGTCCCATTGGAAGAGCCTGACCATGTCGAACGTGTGGACTTTGACTTCCGCTCCAATGGCACCAACTTCATCTGGTATCTCAACAACAGCACCTACCACGGCAACTACAACAAGCCCACTCTTCTGAAAGCAAAGCGTAATGAGTCGGACTTCAACCCTGAATGGAACGTGTACCAATTCCCCGGTGCGAAGCATGTCCGCATCCACATGGTCAACCACGGTCTCATTGGCGGCCATCCCATGCATTTACACGGCCATGACTACCACATCCTGGCTGAAGGTTTCGGCGAGTGGGATGGCGTTGTGACAAATCCAGAGAATACGCTACGCCGCGATGTCCACCAGATGCAGAATGCACGAAACACCACCGGCACGGTTGAGCCTTCGTACCTGGTGCTACAATTCGTGCAGGACAATCCAGGTGCATGGCCGCTGCATTGCCATCTCGCTTGGCACGTTAGTGGAGGGCTTTTCATGCAGATCTTGGAGAGACCAGAGGAAATCCAGAAGCAGATATTTGGGGATGAGCAGTTTCAACTTTGCAATGATTGGGATGCTTATACTTCTGAAGTGGTCCTCAATCAGATCGATTCGGGGTTGTAAGTAAACTTTCATGTATATAGGGCCCTAGAGTGCGAGCATAGTAAATACCCATGACTTTCCCCAATGGTTGTATCACGTGATTTCACACCTCGCAGTTCGATGAAGGGCGCGTGATAGGGTGTTCATAAGTCGAATGACGGCAATCTCATTGCCTGAACATCAGGTATTTTACATTGCTTTCGCGTCTTGTGTAGGTCAAGCTCTCGAGAGGACGCATCCGTGGACCTGGGCAGTTATTGGAGGCCCCGGGAAGACGCGTTCAAAGGCGGCCGATATGCTGAACTCCACAGTATCGCCGAAGAAACGATCTTGCATCCCGCCGGGCTTTTCGAAAATATCCTATTTTCCCTCTCTTGCCGATGGTCAATTTCCGAGGATAAATTTGCAGTAGCAACGGGCTGTAGGCGCCAGGAGAGATGAGCTCGGAATATTCGCGCGGGAAGATTTGGTCATGACGTCATGGCTCCGCGAACCCACGGCAGCCCATTAATAAAAGTAAATTAAAGACACCGACGATTAGCAAGAGTTCCGTGCTCACAACATCTACCCTTCATCCTAATCTGCCATTATTGGCCAATGATAATGAGCGCAGGTCCTCAACATCTCAAAGTCCTGTTGACAGGTGGTGCCAGGGGTATCGGACGCGGGCTGTTCAGACAGCTGCTGACATCTGGTCATGACGTCGTCATCCTGGATTCCAACAAGGAAGAGCTAGAGCATGTCAGAACTCGAGCTGAAGAATGGTCAAACGGGCGAAAGCAAAGCTGGTCTGCGCTTGAGTGTGACCTCAGCAAGCGAACGGAGTTGAAGACTGCTGTGGAAGAAGTCAAGCGGAAATTTGATGGCAAGCTCGACGTTTTGATCAACAATGCTTTTCCGACAGACCTATCAATATCGGAGGATCGTAGCATGGAAGCCGAAGGGGAAGACATGGAAAAAGAGTGGGATTTGAAGGTTGCGATCGGTCTCACTGCACCGTTCATCCTCAGCCGGCTATGCGTTCCGCTTCTCGCTGCTGGGAATTCCACTCCAAGCTCACCTGGTACCATCATCAACATGTCATCAACGCGCGCATACCAATCAGAAAATGACCACGAAGCGTACTCATCAGTCAAAGCTGGACTGTTGGGGTTGACGCAGTCCATGTCAGTATCGCTAGGCCATCGTCACAAGATCAGGGTGAATGCGATCATTCCCGGATGGATTCACGTCGCCAATGAAAGTAAAGCTGGTGATGAAGGTCAAACCAAGTGGGAAGAGGGTCTTTCAAAGGCCGACGTCGACTGGCATCCTGCTGGCAGAGTAGGTAAAGTGGAGGATATTGCGAAAGCGGTGGAGTACCTCATAGGCAACGAGTTTGTCACTGGTCAGGAGGTTGTTGTAGACGGCGGTGTCGGGAGAAAGATGGTTTACCCTGAGTAGGCACATGAGACCGATACATGACCAAGTTTCTCATTAGCTGAGCAAGTCACGCCGTGCATATGGTTTGCGCATCACTGTTAAAGTCCAGACCGCCCAGCCATGCATATACAGACGCACCGTCTAGTGGTAGATTTTACGCTGAATACATAGACGAAGCACGCATACCAGCTACTCAGCCACGCATCAAGGACAGTCCTTCTAACTTTTCATCTGGGGCAACAACGATGTCTCTCACTGCTCTCTCGACAGAGCTTGATACTATGATAGCCAATCATCTCTCCGACGGCAAATCTCGAAAGGCTCTCTGCGCTCTATCGCGCGTGTCTCGATACTACCATCACGTAGTGGAACCTATCCTGTACCGTGACATCGGCTTTTGCGACAAAGCTGAAATTCGTGCGAAGCGCCTGATGATCACTCTGCTCGACCGGCCGGAGCTCGCACGCCACATCTCGCGCATCACATTGCTTGCGAAAGATACCAAAGAGTACACCAAACCTTGCCACGCTTGCACATCAATCGTATCAGAACATACCGAGCTCAGCCATACTACGCATATGCTGCAACAATACATTTCGAGTGTTACAAAGACGATCGACAGCCTTGGTCTAAAGAGCGATAGACTGGCCAAAGTGTGGTTGGCGGACGTCTTCAAGCGAACAGACGATGTCGATCCTGAAGATCCCAGCTTGGATGGAGTTTTAGCTCTAATATTCGCCCTCGCTCCAAATGTACAGGAGGCGCATCTGGGAACCATCGCACCAGGATCTCTCGATATCACACTACAGGTTATTTCCCTACACGATTGGGACCATTATAGACAATCACCTATATGTCCGAAGCTTGCGGAGCTTGATGTCTATGGTTTCGAGGCGAGAGGGGACACCTTCAGTTTCGGGCTACCCAGCGCAGTCCAAAAGCTGAGCATGTGGGCCTGCGACGTGCTCAATATTAGGATGATATCCACTCCGCAGATGGCCCTTCGAAAATTGGAGCTGCTCAATGTTCACATCACGCCTAGTGCCTTTGAGTCGTTATTCTCTCACCCCTGTGCCTCAAGACTGGAATATCTCAGCCTCGACCACATATGCGATGTTCTACAGCCAGGGCAAGCGACCCCAGTCATATCAAATCTCTTACGGAAACATCTACCATGTTTAAAAACCTTTCGCTGCGTTCGTCCCGACGACGATTCAATGCCAACGAACTGCATCCTCGATTCGCTCTATGCTCTTCAAGAGCTGCATACCCTGCACATCGACTTCACCTTACTTTCCCGATACCTACGCCAAATGACACAAGACAGCCGTGTATCCTTCTTGCCCCCTAGCCTCAGACACTTAGAAGTAACCGATGCCATGACAGTGCCACTCGAAGATCTTCGTTTGCGATCAGAGGAAACAGGGCCACTGGACTCCCCATCTAGGTCTAGCTTATGGCAGCTCATAGTAAGTCCGGCGACAGTGCTCACCCTTGAAAGCTTCAATCTAGTCGTAACGCCAACTTCTGGATGGGTAAGCGAAGGTGAACCTGCATCCCTCCGTGACTTACGATCGGAAATGATCGAACGCCTACACGATGCGGTGGTTGCAGCATCTCAACGTGGTATCAAATTCTGTGTATACGGCGACAGCAGGGGCTGGGAGTTGAAGCGGCAGTTATTGATGAGTGTTGATACCCCATTCGCAGCACCGGTGTCAACCAATGAAGCTTCTGAGAGTTCAAATGAAGGTCACGGCTCTTGAGTGGCCTCGGTGGCATAGAATAGGTTAGCTCGCCTGGTGCCGGATTGGAGTCCTTCTTTCGAAGGTGTCGGGTCTTGGAACTTAGCAATACAGTATCCTCGCAAAGAACGAAGTCCGTTCATCGCTTGTTCAGGATACGCAAGAATCGAAACATCGTCAATCACTACTGAACTTAACCATACATTATATGCCCGTTAACCAGGCCCAGCAGTCGCTCATGATAGTTCTGAAAGCTCTACTCCAGTAACTTTGAGTCTCGTCGTTTGATCTTGTCCGGCTTCATGTCGTCTTCGGCCTCTTCCTCAACACAAACCCCATCCACATCCTTCCCCCACAGGCGTAGCACAGCATCCTTCCTCCAGTCGCACTTTCTCCGACTGATTGCTTGCCTTGTCATCTTATGTACTTTGTCGCATGCCGCCATAGCCTTTTTAAGTCCTTCCTTGCCTTTTCCATTGAGCCAATTCTCAAATTCAAGAATGTTGGGTATCTGCTTCTTGAACCTTCTGCGGCAGAGGTCTTTGGCAGTATGCTTAATTAAAGGGTTTGTGGGAGGGAAGCGACGCACCAACATCTCGAGCTCGCTAATACTGAGAAGTCGAGATGATACGAGCGCGCAAAGGGTGCCGAGGAGAGGTGTAGAGTGAGTGTAGTGGATGCCGAGAACTAAACACGCTTGGTATGTTAGTATATCGTTACGAAGATTACCGGACACAAGGTCAACGCGATCAAGGCCAAGAAGCTTGGATGTAGTGAATGCGTCAAGCAAGCGTTTGATACTTCTTTCATCGGCGTGACCATGTATGCGGAATCGTGTGATTTGGGGCGTGATCTGAACGGCATCATTGGCCTTTTGGCATGAAGCTATCAATGCACGAAGAGCTACGTCTTTGCGGATGACGATACCACGGGCAATGAGATCCACGGTTGGTCCCTCGAGGAGTACCTTGCGGTCTTTGGTATCCAAAACAAGGACGTTTATCGAGTGTCCAGCGATGCGCTTCAAAGATCCACTTTCAGGGATGCCAATCGCTTCCGTAATAATACGATTGCGCTCTTGCTCTTGGCCAATGATTGACTTAGCGCATACATTTGGTGCGTCGCGCCGTATCACAGGCGACCAAGTTGGTGCAGTCGGGAGAGTGATCAGTACAGGGTCCGGCATGATGGTGATCGATAGCAAGGATGATGTCGCTCTACTGAAATGCATTTGTTGTACAGTCTTCCAGCCAGAATATAGGGCGCGTGGATTAGCGAGTGGAGTCGAGCAAGCGAAAGCGCCATTGTGATATCCTGATACATCGCACAACGCACAACCCACGACGTGGCATCACAGCCATTCAAAAACCCTTGTAAAGATCTAACAGAACAATGGGTGGGCATTGTCGGGGGATGAGGTCGAGGCGAGGCTATCAAGTGTCCGTCTGTTCGATACTGGTGGTGAGCTACGGCTATGTTCCTCAAGGCCACAGACGACACTGTATCCTCGTGGATTACGATGTGCTGTGTGGCTGGCAGCCAAGCGAGGTTCAGACTATGCTCCCTTCAATTGCACATATATCTGTGACCGGCTGGACCCTTTTGTCTACCTCGACAACAGCCGTGCTTCTACAGTGGTGTCGGTATGCGCGAGTCTTCGGTGGTAGTCGTAGCGTGCATGTTGGTGTTCTAGTGGTTCTTGTCGGTACCAGCTTGTGGCTCTTGGGAGGATGCGAGGCTGTCTGACGAGACGATGGGGCTACGGCGCGGAGCGAAGATGGCGGTTCTATCGGTTGCTGAGACGCGGCAGCTTTGAGAAGGGTTCCTATATCCTAATTAGGCGCATGACTTGAGGCTGATGGGGGCTCAGTCCATCCAATCGTCAGTCTCCGTATGCGAGTGTCGGCCAGCGACCGGACGCCATCTCGATGTCTGACGCGTCGGATGCGCTGAGAGAAAGTGAAGTACTTGGAAGTATAAACTGAGACAGACAATTTGGGCCTTGTGCACGTAGTCGCGCCAGCTCGGGGCCGTTGGGACTATGACGGCGTTCCTGATGGTGGAGAGCAAAGAGTGTTGCCCAGGACTCGCGTCATCCGGAGTAAGTTCGGCTGGCGCTACTGTGCCAGAGGGCACGCGTCCGACACGCGCGACAACTCTTTCACTTCAGCACTCTCTCGCGAACCCCAGTCGTCATCGAAAAGTCAGTCGTTCATCGTGTGCAAATAATCATTGTTTTTATACGCGTTCCACCAGAGTCTTCTGCCGTCTGATTGAAGATGACGCTTTACTACGAGCCGCACGTTGCCACACTACACCTACTCCAGACCAGGTAACGAGTCCTTTAGATCATTGACCAGTTGCGATCCAGAAAGAGTTATAGCGTTTTAGGCACACGGTTCAACAGCCGCGATGGCCTTCTCTAAATGCGTAAGAAAGCTGCGATGAGATGCTACATCAGCATAACCAGAGAGAGCCAGGAGTATGAAAACGGGCACGAGTAGTCCGATGAGGGCGATATTCTGATCTTCTAGGTCCCCGATTAGGACCATCCCACATTGCTCTTTCCTCATTCAATCCGGCTTCCTCGCGTTGTGCGACCGTTCTGCGCTCGGGTCCCTGCCTATCTAGGTAGTCACGTGCACTGGGTCCCGTCCGTTTGCATGTAAATAACCCGCGCCTCGAGCTCGCTGCCTAAAAGTACTGGACTCCACACCAAATCTACTCCTTCTGTGTAAGGAAGGGCCTTCTGTTTTCTCCAACTGACAAACGCGGAATCACGTCGAACCGCTCAGTCTGCGCCGCATCATCATCGTATTTACGATGGCGACCACGAACATTGCAAGCAGTCACCTAGCTGCAGAACTTTCGTACGTTTCAATTACCATTAAAATAACGCCATGTGCTAACCCCAGGTCTAGTGAGCCATCTCCAGCTGTCCAAGGCCAATCCAAGTCCAAGTCTGCACGTTCTCGTCGCAACCGGGCTGCTAAGAAGGCGGCACTCCTCAAGAACGAGAACAACATCGCTTCCTCTACTGAGCAGGCTGGTTCTCCCGAGTCTGCTGATACTACCAAGAACGCCATACCGGACCAAGGTGAAGACTTGACTGTTGAGACCGTCAGCATCGCCGACACTGACGCCTCTGCGACTGCCTCTTTGCCCAAAGAGCCACTTCCTACCAAGATCAACCTTCAGCCCGCTACCAATCCCGGATTCGGCCCCAAGCCGTCTACGCCGTCGTTCTCTTCCGTCGCCGAGGTTGCCGATGTCCCGCCCCAGCCAAAGACTGCAGCAAAGCAGTCAGCTCAACCGCTGTCTTCCCCGACCATAGATCAGTCTGTTGACAACCTGCTTGAGATGATACGAGCGCAGCGTCAAGCTCTTCTCCAAGGCCCTCGCGTCACCATTCGCATTGGGGATACATCCGTTGAGGGCATCTCCAAGCGCGCAGCAATGGCTGCTTCTACTGTTCTCCACAAACATTTCACCGCTAATCCCCAGTTGCATGAGTATGTATTCTCACGTGGTCAAATACACCCTGGCGCAGTTCGCCTTCTACTCATCGGCTGGATGCAGGAGACGTGCAATGAGTTCGAGGCCTACGCTGTCCCGGCTCAGAAGACCTTTGGTGAAGACGTTGCTCTCCTGCGCGCTGCTCGCCTGTTGGGCATGGAGCGCTACTGCAGCCACATCCACGCCGGCTACGTCGAGTACCTCAAAACCCAGCTTCCGAGCTACGAAGAGATCATTGCCGTCGAACAGAACGCCACGTCTGACAAAGACCCACTCTGGACCGCGATGGTCAACCACCTTTGCCACGACCGCTACAAACGCCTTATACCCGATTCCGAAGACTTCGCGGCGTTCTTGGAGAAGCACACTCGGTTAAGGAAAGCTATGGAGTCCGCTGATATATTCTTTGCTGGAATGGCAAAGCGGCAGGTTGAGGGCCGGGAGCAAGAGCGTGAGAAAGAGCGCCGCCAGCGTTGGGAGCGCAACCAGGCTGAGAAGCACGAGCGCATTGCTAAAGAGCGACTTGCTGCTGAGTCGCTGAGGAAGAAGATGGACGAAAAGGGTTCAGGTCTAATGACCGTCACTGCGGAGGAGGCGGAGCTGCTTCGAGGGCGCACTCGCACCCGCTAGAAGACCGCTGAACGCAGCCTCTGCCTTCACCTCGGATTTACAGACAGTATCTTTTCACTGGCTGTATAATGGCGCGTAAAAGAGACTAACAGCATCTTATCAGGTGACCAGGACATCTTAGCGGTGAAGAGAAGCCTGTACAGGGACTCAGGTGTTTTAGCACGTTCCTTCTTCCTGCTCTTCCTCAGGGTATCAATTACCGGGCAGATAGAGGTCAAAATAAAGTGACTTTGGAATACATGGTAGATACAAATGTGCATTAATCCAACCCAATCTCTAAACCCCCATGTCTCTACTGATTACATCGAATATCTTTTTTGAGACGTCGTGCGGCTGCCTTTACCATCGTCCCAGCCATCATTCTCTCTTGTCGTCTCAGAACTCATCCGCCCAATCACCCAGTTCCTCATTCCAATCATCACTGCCTTCCTCGCTCTTCTCGTATCCCTCCCACCAGCTCGCTACAGTCACTGGCGGCTCACACTCTTTGCACCTAGCCTTGATGTATATCGCACTGTCCTTGTCGACTAACCCAGTATGGTGTCCATGTGGTACGACATCAAGCTTGTTGTTGCAGTCATCCTCCGCGCAGATGATCGTGCAAACGTCCATCGGAGAAGATGAGTGTGAGTGCGGTGATAAAGGGCTTATCTCGCTCGCGGTCCTGATGCCATGTTGGGGGTGGCGACGAACGACCTCGGGGCTGTTTGGTGGGTAAGACATCGTGTTGTTGACTTTCGAAGTGCTTATAGCTCTTGAAGAAGCTGGTGAGTAGTGTTGTGATGAGCGAAGACATGATCTTGGGAAGGGATGTATTTATGACTTTGTTGATTGCCTGGTGAAGGCAATTGTGATTGTGTGAAGGAGGAGAGCAAGCACGGAGGGCGCTTTGTGTTGAGTGAAGTGAACTATGGTACAGTGAGTGTTATACATCCCTCATGACCCCATTGCAGTATCGTTCACAAAGTGTCGATGTCACTGCTATTCGTGGCATGCCTTAGCCCAGCCTCATTCGTCTTCCCACCATTCATCTTCCAATAAGTCTCTCGCATTCGGTCTATCCCTCCAGTCCATCTTCATTATCCTACGGACAAACTCGTTATCCTTCCTTGACAGCTCGATCTCTGAGATGACCTTGAACATTCCCTGCTGCGCTGGTAGATTGTTCCTCTTCAGAGACGCTAGGGTCTTAGTAATCTCTTCATCAGCTATCTCGACGGTCTTGTTTGGAAACGGCCCGAACCAGTATAATTGTCGCAGAAGAACATGCAAGGGGAGATTTTCCCTATCCTCCTCAGCTTTTGGGCCCTGAGGGACGCATAGGTTGAAGTGAGAGCCGTAGTGCATGTGCACGAACTATGCATCGAAGTCGTCAGCCAATGAACGATGCATGAATATGAGACAATGTCAAAGGGTGTGAAATTCAGTTTCTTACCAGCAGTCCAAACGCCCAGATATCTGCAGCTGTATTCCACGGTAGTTGCAGAATGATTTCTGGGCTTACCCATGTTGGTGCGCCACACGGAGTCCCAGAAGTAGGAGCTGCACTGGTGACATGAGAGCAATTCCCCATATCGCCAAGTTTGACCTCGCTGAATCGATTGTCGCCTTCCTGCAGGTTGACGTAGACGTTGTCTGGTTTGAGATCTTCAAGTATAATCAGCTCCAACATTTCGCTACCAGCGACAGACAATTGATACCCGCATGTACATAGCCGTCATCATGAAGGCTTTTTAGAGCCTCTAGAACGCTGCGCGAAACGTGCTTCAACTCCTTCCGATTCAAGGCCTTTTCCGCGGACGCCTCGGAAATGGTGTTGTCAAGATACTCCAAAGCGATTGTGACGGGCAGATCTGGGCCCTGAATCTCTTCGGTCATTGATCTAATGTAAGGGCTGCGATGTTGAAGCTTCTTAAGAACGTTTCGCTCGTTCGTAACCCCATGGTGGCCCTGCTGGGCCTTGATCACCGCCAGCTTTTGCGCTTGGTTTCTGGCGGCCGTTAGAGGTTTATATGTTTCTATTGTCACCATAGCACAGACTTAGCGAGCCAGACAGCTTCTTTGAGCTCTTGAGTGATTGTATACGTCCCGATGCTACCCTTGAGAACTTGGCCGACCCGGAAAAGAGACGACATGGTGTATTCGACGCGAGAACCCTTGGTTATCGGTACTAGTCTGTATATAGGTACAGCTTCATCGTCTCATCTTGGGTTGTATTTTCGCGGATGAAGAAGACATGGCACACAAGATTTTGTGCGGCGCAGTCCTTGGACTCCTGCGGTCATGTCGATCGCCAAGGCACTAACGACAAGTTGGGCGACTTGCAGGAACAACCGTAACGAAAGCAACAATAAGATCATTCGTGTGTATATTTACTCGCGTATTTCAAGTATCTGATCTCGGTAAAGAGGGTCGGGAAATAGAAGATGACCCAGGTATTTAGCATCAATGACGCAGACCGCCACCTGGGCATGTATGGATTGATCAGCCCTGAGCCCTTACATTTCCGCCGTGCTATCGAGCCAGGAATAAACCAAAACCGCTCTAATCATATCAACTCTGCATCCACTGTAAGAACAGTTTCCTTCATTCTGAAATGAGATCCAGACCGTTATCTGTTATTCACGCAACGACTACACTGCTCAAGGAGGCAGCGAGTGCATTGCATGACGGACAAGAGATCGGTACGTTCACATCGCGCACATGCGGTACCGTCATGTTGTTTCCAAACGTGCTGGCAGACGGTCGGTGCCATGTCTAGAGCATCGGTAGGAGTCGGCCTCAGAAGATGACCCTCGTCGAACTGCGGACAAAGGCACGTCTTCCATGTGGCGCCGCACATGTAGCAGAACTGATGACTGCAGCGACAACTAGATAAATTAGCAAATTAAACTGTGAGTATCTCGCGCGCTGCACTTACATGATATGGAAACAGCCAGTGTCTAGCTCGACCAGATTCTTGCACTTGGTGCACTGTTGCCACATGACCTTTCCAGCTGTCGCCATCAATATCTTGGTGTCATCATCCTCGGCACACAATCCTTTATGCGCTTCGAGCTCGCATACCGTACACGTCTCGGTGTCGCAAATATCGCAAGTCGCAACGCCGCTACTGATGTTTCCTTTCGGGATGACGTGATCGCAATCCGCACCAGAACATAGGGTTTCTTGAGCCTTCTCCTGCTCCGCCTTCTTTTCATTGACCTCGGTCAATAGCTCTCCAGGCAGTAGAACACTGCAGCCCTTTACCCCGTTTTCGTTCGTGTCGAGTGGGATGGTGGCTTTGCAGCATCGAGGCGGGAAGAGTGAGGTATCTTTGTGGACAGCGAAGTGGAACAGATCTATAATGCAGTCTTTGCAGTAGAGATGGGAGCATTCAAGCTTGATGGTGTCCTTCTCGGGCTTTGTATCACCGCAAGCACCGCAATCGGCAGTAGCCTCTGGTACCAGCTCAGGTTCTGACTCTGACTCCGGTTCTGACTCCGGCGCCTCAATGAGATCTGGTGTGAGACTTGCTTCCTCCGCTACGACGACTTCATCATCGGAGTTGTTCGCGGAGGTGTCGCTGCTTGATCTCGATGGCGTACGTCTTGCTTCGTCGCCGTTGTCGCTTTCGTCATCAGTATCCTGCTGATATGTCAGTATCTTAATACATTCAACGTAGTGGGATTATTGTGGGTTCACGGAGTATCCGGTCAGTTGTCGGAGAATAGCATACCTGGCCATAAATGATCGACAGTTGATCTTGAAGCGTGTGACGAATAGCGCGATAGCTCGCAGTACCATTGTCGTCCAGTTGGACGCCTTCGAGCGCTTCTGTAATCTCGTCTAGTCTGATCTGGATGACCAGTCTGCCGGTAGCGCGATCGAGCCCAGTGATGTCCATGGTTGATGGTGATAGGTACGGACGTGAATGTGACGCCAACTTTACCTGTAGCCGACGCAATAGTCTTGATGTATCGATGGAGCTAAACAGAGCGCTAGCAAGCGAGGTGGTGCTTTTCTGTAGCCCTCTTTCACTATATCGGAGCCTTGAGGGCGAACCCCGAGTGGGGTCGCAAGCGTTGAGTGGAGATATCTAGTACTTCTACCATCAGTACAGTGTATAGTACAACACATAATCCACATCGTACAGGTGGTGATGCCAGTACGCCTTACAAACCAAAGCTATCTCAGTCGTCTTGCCACCACTCATCCTCCAAAAGTTCTTTGGCCGTAGGTCGATCTCTCCAATCAAGCTGCATAATCTTCGAGATGAAATTCCTGTCCTTCTTCGCCACTTGTCCTTCCGTGACAGACGCGAACGGTGTTAGTTCGTCATACGGGATCGTTTCCATCAAATACTGTATGATTTGGGCGATCCCTCCGTCACCCATTTCTATAAACGGTGGAAGAAAGGGTCCAAAATAGCGGAACTGTCGCTCGAGGACACCTAACAGGTACCCTTGTTCACCGCGCTTTACATCTTGCGGCTGGAACAAATTCCTATCTCCACCGTAGATTAGACTGATGACCTGATGAGCGGACAGTCAGCTTATGCTTTATGACAACTTCTAGCCGAATCTTAACACATACCACGGTACCAAACGACCATATATCTGTTGCGGTGTTCCAAGGCATCTCTAGGATAACCTCTGGACTAGACCACACAGGCGCACCCACAAGCTTTCCAGATCGAGCCCGCTCTGAGTCCACCGTACAACAGTCGCCCAGATCACCGAGCTGAACATCAGCGAAGCGGTTGGGTCCCTCCTGAGAATTGAAGAAGATGTTGTTGGTTTTGATGTCTTGTCGTCCTGTCAGGCCGGTCCACTTACTTCAACCAATGGATTGCGCATACGTACCTGAGTGCACATAGCCTTTCTCGTGCAGAGCATTCAGAGCTAGCAACAACCTCCGAGTTACATATTTCAGCTCCTCTCGGCTCAACTTCCTTTCGATCGATGCAGTTAGGACATCACTGTCGAGATATCGCAAGGCAATAAGCGGAGGCATGGCAGGTGGCCCATCCACCTCGTCTACCATTGGCCTGATATGAGGGCAATGCTGGAACATTTTGAGTGCATCACATTCTACTCGCACCGTTGGAGGTCCGCCTTTGATCACCACTCTTCTTTGTCCTTGGTCCCTTGCATAGTTGTCAGTGGCCAAGGCATAGAAGGCGATATTCGGGCCTCACTTCGCAAACCAAAGTGTCGGTGAGACTTGCTTGGTGATCGTGTAACTGCCTATGCGGCCCTTGAGAACCTCGCCCGCGCGGAGGAGAAACGACATCAAAGCCGTGGTTCCGTCGTCGCGATGTTCAGCTGCAACGACGCACCAGAAGGCGATATAAATTGTGCACAATGATTTGACACGATGAGCATGAGTGAAAACGCCAGTCGAGGCAGCGTGGATGGATGCGAGAAAGCCCTGGAGCAGTTGGATGCGGCGCAGCCTCGCCAAGGCGCTACACACCCAGGTAGGTAAGGCCTCCTGAGGTTGGTCGGCATGTCGGCGTAAAGCCTTGAGAGCTCCTACACCAGCACCATGACTACCAGAAACTATAGACTTGCGTCGACCGCGCTACGCGCGCAACTGTTCTCACAGACTCACACTCTCGTATACCGAAGGCCTGGCTCAAGCGGTTAGCGGCGAGGCTTTTTGGACATGCCGGAGCCTAGGCCCGTCTGTGCCAAGTCGATATATAGTCCTGACCCGAGAATATGCATGTGAGTCAGATTCCATCCTATGTACCTGGAAGCACGACAGAGATATCATCTTCTCAACGAGTAATAGTGGTGCGTGGATCTGAGTGCATGAACACATGGCTGTTCGAATGGCAAGCTGGACTAAGGGTGGTCCCGTACCGCGCCCCATAGGCTCCCCGTCATTGTGAACTCATTGCATCGCCTAAAGTTGGTAGTCAGGCATGCTTTGAGATAGCTGAAAGTTGCAGCAGCATGTCAGAGCTGAAGTCGTAACAGGGTCTGGCATGATGTCAGACTTCAAACATGATTTCAGATACTCGACACATCACATCTCTCGATACCTGGCTATCGCAAGACTATATAGAGAGAAATCTCGAGATCCGAAGCGTCTAACAAAAAATAAGAGGCGAGAGGGGAGGATGGCCTCGGGAAGCTCCCCTGTTCTGGTACAACTCGGATGTGCTCCGGGTCGCCCACTTCCACTTCACGCCGGACCGCGGCATGCGCGACATGCCCAAAGTAATTAGATGATTCCCTCTCTGCGCCAGTATTACACGCATGTCAGATACGAGGGCAGGGGGCTGTCATCGCTGCCTTCTTCTGAGGTTAAAATCGAATTTGAAGTCCGTCACCATTCACCGTTTCAAGCCCCCTGAAATGGTTCCGTCACCGATTAGACTTATCACGATGAGAACAGTGTAACGCGAAGCTATGAAAGCAGACATCATGATAGGCTCCGACATCATGTCATTGATATTGCAACACCGATCCCGAATACCCTCAGACGTAGTTCAGTCAGAGTCACTGCCTAAAAGCCA